ACCATGGAAATATGACCTGAATACCTAACATTATGAGGTACAAACCAACTGTAACCCATAGTGAAATATGACCTGAAATACCGAACATTATGAGGTACAAACCAACTGTAACCCATGTGAAATAGGACCTGAAATACCGAACATTATGGAGGTACAAACCAACTGTAACCCATGGGAAATAGGACCTGAAATACCGAACATTATGGAGGTACAAACCAACTGTAACCCATGTGAAATATGACCTGAAATATTAAGTATAGTGAATAACTAAAATCCTCTAAGGAAAACAAATTGCGTTTCAAACTTTCAAAAATAATTAGGTTGTAGAAAACTAAAACCAAACAAGAAACATTGTGAAAAATTAAGCATGATGGAAACATTAAATTGAGAGACTCAAACTCATTAAAGTATTGAAAGATATACTGGGACAGTAAACCAAAAGTAATACAGGCATGAAAAATATCGCAAAATGCGTACCAAACTGAACGTTTAAACCAATAAAAGTTAACTAAGGCAAGGAAATAAATATATTTAAACATGCTTGTGCACAAACCAACTTTATGACAGGCATGAAACGTCCAGAGATATCAGTTACGATGGGATGCATGCTAACTATAACAAGTGGAAGAAATTGACTGAAATGTCGAAAATATTGGGCATATAAACTACCTGTAAAACATATAAAATAATATAGAATTTCAAACACCGTATGTTTAAACGAGCTGTAACTTGAATATGAATAATTTTAGTGTAGAGGTTGTGGATATGGAAATCAAGGCATGAAATATCAAATACAATGAAGGGGTAAAAAAATTATCCTAGGCAAGAATATTGTGATCACAATGAATCAAATTCATTAGATCGATACACAAATAAAAAAGGTGATCAAACTGGCAGAAGGATCATTTAACCAATAATCTCTAACTCAACTGCAGCAGAAGTGGTAGGGCACTTTTAAAAGACCATATCTGGTATTTAGTATTTTTTAAATGAAAATCTACAAATATGTATTATTTTATGAAGTATCCAGAGGTATACGCCGGTCGGTAATTGAATAACATCCAATAGAGTTGGATTATTTTGTACCTAATTGTGACAATGATCATGGAATTGTTGTTGTATATTATCTGTGGAACACTCTTCATTCCTTATCTTATTTCTGAAACCTGTGATGAACTGATGTGACAACGATCCATAAACTCTGAATGTGTGTTCTTGTCGAGATGGAAACAAGGTCAAATTCAAAGCCCCCCAGTGGCACAGCGGTATGTCTGCGGACTTACAACACTAGAATCCGGGTTTCGATACCCGTGGTGGGTTGATCACAGATAGCCCATTGTGTAGCTTTGTGCTTGATTACAAGCAAACGAATTCAAAACTAACCTGCAAATGCAAAGTAGCAAAAATGTCCAAGGTGCTACAAGTGTAGCAGGAGTGGATGTGGTCACGATACCACACCAATTACTCAAAAGGTTAGCCGTAAAAGAGGTCAGAGAAGCTTCAGCGGAGAAAGGGGTGCTGTCAAATGCTCAAAGAACAGTACGATGCATACGTATGTACCCGACGACTTCCCCTCAAGTGGGAGTGACAGCAGAAGAAAGAGGACGATTCAAGATCATGTAAGGAAGAGAGAATACTACAAAGAACAGTACGATGCATACGTATGTACCCGACGACTTCCCCTCAAGTGGGAGTGACAGCAGAAGAAAGAGGACGATTCAAGATCATGTAAGGAAGAGAGAATACTAAAACCTTATTTCTGAGTGTAGTATCAGAATATTACAGAATAGAAAAGAGAGGAGTACTAAAACAATGGCCAAATTGTATGACCATAGCCTGCGGATGGTCCGCTTTGATAGGATAGAAACGCCGTAACGACTACTCGGATAAAAAAAAAACATCACGGAAAAATTATTGTTGGATCATGCTTTACACAGTCTTGTATCTCACTCTTAGGCTACCGAATTCCCATTGAGTCAGATTTTTCTTGTTAAATTAACCCAAACATAAAATATTATGAACATATGAGAGTATGGATGTAAACCATCACG